TTAATTAAATTTTATTTTTTTCTTTTTTTTATTAAAAATTTTTTTATTAAAATTTTTTTATTAAAATTTTTTTATTAAAATTTTTTTATTAAAATTTTTTTATTAAAATTTTTTTATTAAAATTTTTTTATTAAAATTTTTTTATTAAAATTTTTTTATTAAAATTTTTTTATTAAAATTTTTTTTTTTCATTTTCATTTTCGTTTTATCATCAGCATCATTGTTTGCTCCTCTCAAATTGTATTCTGGAACCTCTTTGATTCCTATTCTGCTCCAGACAACGATATTAATAGTATTTATGGTCACCTATTACCCATCTTATCTCTTATTACCCATCTCATAAACTACATAATCACCTTTAAATCACAATATGTAAATGGCAATCACCTTTTCAAATTATTAATCAATAATCAATCAAGATAATATCAATTAAAACTATCATAGTCTAATTAATAATAATGTCAATTTACACTAGTCAATAGTTATAATGACCAATTATAGTAATTAAATTAATATTTAACAATTTAAAAGTATAAATATTTCAATTTAATTATCATCATTAATAATAATATCAATTTACACTAGTCAATAATCATAAAGACCAATTATAGTAATTAAATTAATATTTAACAATTTAAAGTATAAATAGTTCAATATAATTATCATCATTAATAATAATATCAATATACACCATTTATAATAATTAAATTAATATTTAACAATTTAAAAGTATAAATAGTTCAATTTAATTATCATCATTAATAATAATATCAATTTACACTAGTCAATAGTTATAATGACCAATTATAGTAATTAAATTAATATTTAACAATTTAAAAGTATAAATAGTTCAATTTAATTATTATCATCATTAATAATAATATCAATATACACCAATTATAGTAATTAAATTAATATTAAACAATTCAAAAGTATAAATAGTTCAATTTCAAGCTATACTCAAATTGTATTCCGTAACCTCTTTGATTCCAGTTCTGCCCCAGTCAGGGATATTAATATTTATGGTCACCTATTTTCCATCTTATCTCTTATTACCCATCTCATAAACTACATAACCACATTTAAATCACATTATGTAATTGGCAATCACCTTTTCAATTAATTAATCAATTATCAATAATAGCAATTAAAATTATAGTAGTCTAATATTAATATCAATTTACAATAGTCAATAATTATAATGACCATATAATAATTAAATTAATATTTAACAATTTAAAAGTATAAATAGTTCAATTTAATTATCATCATTAATATTAATATCAATTTACACTAGTCAATAGTTATAATGACCAATTATAGTAATTAAATTAATATTTAACAATTTAAAGTATAAATAGTTCAATTTAATTATCATCATCATTAATAATAATATCAATATACACCATTTATAATAATTAAATTAATATTTAACAATTCAAAAGTATAAATAGTTCAATTTAATTATTATCATCATTAATAATAATATCAATTTAAAAGTATGAATAGTTCAGTTTAATCATCATCGTCATTAGTATAATATCAATATACACTAGTCAATAATCATAATTACCAATCATAATAATTAAATTATATTTAACAATTCAATAGTATAAATAGTTCAATTTAATTATTATCAATTATAAGTTAAAATTCATAATAAGTAATTAAATTCCTCCATCATCATTGTTTTCACCTACATCATCATCAGCATCATTATTGTTTGCCCCTCATCATAATAATCAGCTCAGCATTGTTTACCCTTCATCAGCTTTCAGCATTCATCATCAGCATTCAGCATTCATCATCATTCATCCTGTCCCTCATCATCATCATCATTCAGCATTCATCATCAGCATTCATCTTGGTCCTCATCATCATTAGCATCCTCACCGGCATTCGTCTTGTTCCTAAGCATTATCACCATCAGCATTCATCTTGGTCCTCATCATCATCTTGGTCCTCACCGGCATTCATCTTGGTCCTCATCATCATCTTCATTCGTCTTGGTCCTCATCATCATCTTCATTCGTCTTGGTCCTCAGCATTATCATCATCATCAGCATCATCATCATTCATCTTGGTCCTCATCACCATCAGCATTCATCTTGGTCTTCACCATCATTATCATCATTAGCATCACCATCAGCATTCATCACCATCAGCATTATCATCATCAGCATTCATCTTGGTCCTCATCACCATCACCATCACCAGCATCATCATCAGCATTCATCTTGGTCCTCATTATCATCAGCATTCATCTTGGTCCTCCTCATCATCAGCATCATCATCATCAGCATTCATCTTGGTCCTCATCATCATCAGCATCATCGTCAGCATTCATCATCATCATCAGCAGCATCATCAAACTTTTCCCCTCACCATCATTATCAGGATTCTTCATCATCAACCCTAAAGCTTTAGAAAAAGAACTTTTAGTTAATAATAATTAATAATTTTATAAAAAAAAAAAAAAAAAAAAAAAGTAATAGAAAATATCATTGTTCAATCTATTTGATGGAAGAAATACATTTTCCCTGGCCAGGAAAATATATTGGAACATCAAATGATTTTAACTGAAACATCATTAAATTTTTAAATAAAATATAATAAAATTTTTTTTTTATAAATATGTTTATTTTTTACCGTTTTCCTTTTTATTAAAAATAGCTCTTCATGAAATGATTATTATTGTTTGTCTACTCTTTTAAACTTTGTAAAGAAAATCATACAAAATCATGAATTTAATGATTTTTGAGAATGGAAAAATGTAATCAAAAAATAAAATAAAATAAAATAAATATTATATTATAATATAAAAAAGTTTTTTTTATTAAATTATCTTAAATTTTATTAATTAATCAGAAGCACCACCAGTCGATTGGTTTTCATTTTCTTGAATTTTATTAAGAAGATTTGCTTTTGAGGGACTTAGTGGGTGGTATTGTGAAATAATATTTTGAATTTGTTCCTGTTGGTTTTTTAAATTATCAAATTCTGTATTTTGTTGTTGTTGAAAATAATAACTATATTTTTTTATTTTAATAGTAGTTCCTTAAGAAACTATCATTATTCAATTTAATTAAAAAAAAAAAAAAAAAGAAAAAGACATATTGAGATAGGTTTTATATACAAAAGAGGTATTTTATTAATTATCTAGTTTAGGTTGTTTTATTATTTTATCGTTGTCGTCTTTATTTTCATCAATCCTTTTATTATTGCTATTATCGTTTTGTTTATTATTTTGTTTATTGTTTCCTTTATTTGAACCTTTTGATTTTTTAGATTGTGGTTGTGGTTGTGATTGTTGTTTTTCTATTTTTTCTTTATTTACAAATTCGGTTATAATGACATTGGTTTTTTGTTGCATTGAAATAATATTTTTTAATAAGTCGTAAATTGGACCATCTTTAGTATTTTCTTGAAACTCTTTTTCTAAATATTCATCTGAAATTTCTTTGCCATTAGATTCGATTGAAATGGTTGTTGGTGGTTCATTACCGGTTGTTAATGCACCTTTTACAATATCACTATTATTCATTATTTCTTATAATGTTACTATATAGTAATTATTATAATATTACTATTTAGAGTTTTTATTTATAAATTTTCAAAAATGAAAAAAAATTAAAAAAAAATGAAAAAAAAAAAAAAAAAAAAAAAAAAAAAATTAATTTAAAAATTTTTTATTCATTTTATTTTTATATAGTTTTTTCAAATAATAAACAAATATTTTAATTAAAAAATAATCTATAATAACAACAATAAAGAAATAATAAAATAATTTATAATTGTATATATGAATAAATATAATTATTATAATGAAAATAATAATAGTAAAAATGAAAAAAAGAGATATTCAAACACTTTAGTAGGAACTTTATTCGAATTTAAAGATGACAATAACAGCAGCGACTATGGAGATAACAGGGCTTCTTTTAAAGATTCATATAAACCAATTTATAAGCAAGAGGTAGTCGACGAAAAGGGTAGAAAAAGATTTCATGGTGCTTTTACTGGTGGTTTTTCTGCAGGTTATTTTAATACTGTTGGCTCTAAAGAAGGTTTTACACCATCAACTTTTAAATCATCAAAAAAACAAAAAGTAGATTTCCAATCTTTAAAGCCTGAGGATTTTATGGATGAAGAGGATCTTTCACACAGAGCCAAAGAATTAACGACACATTCAGATTTTAATTATTTCCAAGGATTGGGTGGCTTTGGTGATTCAACCACAACTACAACAAGCAATGACCAACAGGGAAATTTAAATGTTAAAAACTTTCAAAGGTATGTACATCAAATTAATATACATGCATTTTTTGATTCAAATAAAAAACAATATGATATTAATATTATTTATTATGACAGTATATTTAATGATGATATGGATAATAAAAATATAATCGAACCTTCTAAAGAATCTATAGGAATAAAATTATTAAAAACTATGGGCTTGAATAAACTAAAGAATTCAGAATTGGGTCGTCTAAAGAAAATTCAGAATGAAAATAAATTAAAGAGGAAGAAACAATCAAGAGAAAAAAGAGTATCCAATAAAACCGCATCTTTGGATGGCATTGAAATACCGGAGGAATTGTTATCAAAGCTTCAAGAAGGACAAGAGATACCTCAATCTATATTATCGATGATAGAAAAGCAACAAAGTGTAAATGCAGGGGAACAATATAGCGAATCAGAAGAAGAGGATGACCAAGACATTCATTCGGTAGACAACATAGATAATCTTAGTGAAAAAGAAATTATGGACTTATTTTTTGGTTCAAGTACAAATAAATCATTTCAAATTAAACAAAAGAATAACTCATATGGTGTTGGTTATGAACCTTCAGATGAAATTAAAAATATGAGATATGCCACCGGTCAACAACAAGAGAGTTCACAATCTAAAATTGCAATGTCAACTAGAAAATCAAACGATACATCAATAATTGGATTGGGTGCCTTGGAAGAGGATGAGGATAAAGATTTTGATATTTATGGTGATTCAGATTCAATGGATATTTATGACTCAGATTTTATAGGTAAAAAAAAACCATCGGTCTGGTTAAATAATTCAAAAACAAAATCATCGTCATCGTACAGCTCAACATTAGATTTCAAGAGACCAGTTGATACTAAAGATTTACCTAGATGCTCCGATGGAACTTTGCCATTGAAAGGATTTGTATTAAGTACCCATACAACTTTAGAGATTAAATGGTTCCCACCACCACAGTTGCCTTCAAATTTTAATTACTACCACAGATATAATTCGCCATTAGATAAAAATGTAATTCAAAGACCAAGTAATATAGTTTCGATTACACCATTCCAAAGATCAAATTTATTAGGCGAGATCCAACTGTTTAATAACTCACAACAACAACAAGAGCAACAACAGCAACAACAGCACCCAAAATTAGCACAACAGCAACCTAGCCAAAACATCATAAAGGACTCAATGGACTATTTAAGTGATCCAGGCAGAAGATTAAGATTCAATGAATATATACTTGAAAGAAATAACGATAAAGGTTTAAAAGAGCAATCATTAAATAACTATTCTAGCTATAGAGATATATCAGAGGGTGAAAAACAAAAAGAAAGAGAAGTTTTTGAAAAGTATGCTCAATCTTTCATGCCCCTTCAATCACAATTAAATAATAGATTCGTTTCAAGTGGTGATTCTTCTAAAACTGAAACACAACCTACAATAAATAAATTACAAAAGCAAATTAAGAAAAGAGTTGAAAAATGGTTACCAGAGCCTTTATTATGTAAAAGATTTGGTATTCAAAATCCATATACCAAAGAAGAATTTGAAATATATAAACAAGAAAAACAACTACTAAAACAAAAACCTTCAGATTGGAAATCAAAATTAAACATCCCATTAAATTATTTAAATAGTAGTATAAATATAAATAATGCTGTCGATACAGCCAAAACTAATATCGAAAATAATAATATTAATATTAATATTAATAATAATAATAATAATAATAATAATAATAATAATAGTAATTTAGATTTATTCATTAATGATAAATATAATGTATCAGTATTCGAAAGTAATGGGCAGTTTCAAGTTAAAGAGGCAGAAAGACCACCAATGGATTTATTTAAAGCAATTTTTGAAAGTAATGATGAAGAGATTAATGATAAACCACAAGATGGCGAGCTAGACCCATTTTCTCAATTTTTAAAACAAGATCAACAAAAGCAAGATCAACAAAAGCAAGATGAAACTAAATCAAACAATTTAGATCCATTTTCACAATTTTTGCAACAAGACCAACATAATAAACAAAATTATAATAATGACAATTTAGATCCATTTTCACAATTTTTACAACAGGATCAAGCTCAACGACAACTAGATAAACATCAAAAAAGCGGCAATGATAGTTTGGATAACAATTTAGATCCATTTTCATTATTTTTACAACAAGATCAACCTCAACATCAAAAAAAAGAAAGAGAAGAATTCAAAGAGATATCAGGTTTTCAAAATATAAGTAATAAAATTAAATCAATAGAGGATAATGAAGCCGAAAAAAGATATAATAGAGACCTATCAAAAGAAAAAGAAAAAAAAGAAAAAAAAGAAAGGAAAAGAAAAGAAAAGAGAGAAAAAAAAGAAAGAAAAGAAAAAGAGAGAAAAGAAAAAGAAAGATGGGTGGAAAATGTTAAATCTTATTTATCTCAATTTAGTGATATAAGTGATTCGAGTAGTAGTGATTCTAGCAATAGTGATTCTGAATATGAAAGAAGAAAGAGAAAAGAAAAAAAGAAAAAAAAAGAAAAAAGGAGGGAAAAAGAAAGAGAAAAACATAGAGACAGAGATAGAGATAGAGATAGGGATAGGGATAGGGATAGGGATAGGGATAGGGATAGGGATAGGGATAGGGATAGGGATAGGGATAGAGACAGAGAAAGGTCAAGATCCAAAGATAGAGAAAAAGATAGAGAAAGAGAAAAACATAGAAACCGAGATAGGGATAGGGATAGGGACAGAGGAAGGTCAAGATCCAAAGATAGAGAAAAAGAAAGAAAAAGATCAATTTCAAAAGAAAAAGAAAAAGAAAGATAAATAAAATAAATGTGTGTATATATTTTTAATCAATTTAATTTTTTTTTTTTTTAATTTTATTTATTTTTAAAAAACAACTTAAAATTAAAATTTTTTTGAATTTCATTACTTTTTAAAATTGGGGTAAAAAATGTTTTTTTTTCAAACATTTTTTTTTTCACCCCCTTGAATTTTTAAAAAAAAATTATCAGTTTATATCATTTTATTATAATTTGAACAGATTAAAAAAATTTTAAGAAACTTAAAATTAAAATTTAAAAATTTAAGAGAATTTATATTAAAATATATAGAATGTAATCATTATACTTATATTTCATATATCAATTTATAATTGGAACAATGGATATTCAATCTTTATTAAAATTGAAAGAGTAATTATATTTTTATATATAACATTACCATAATTTATTGTAACTTTATAAAAAATTAACACATTTAAAATTTTTAATTGTAGATTAATCAACTGTAATACAAATATCGCTTTTCACATTCAATATAAGGATGAGTTAATTAAATATATTAACCAACTTGATCCTCAAGAACTATCAGATAAAAATATATTAGAAAGAAAATTAAAAAATATAATAGATTCACCCGAAAATTTATTGGATAGAGATTTGAATGTTCAGGCCGACTTTTTAAAATTAAACCCAAGGTGTGACCATCCCCTTTTCAACTCAATTAAATATCGATTGGAAAAAATCGATGATACCAAGACCTGTTTGAATGATAAAAATGAAACTATTGAAAGAATTTTAAGTGGTCTATCGGCTGGTTATAAAAATTCAATAGAAAATTTTGTAAAAAACGTACATGTTGGTGCAGATATATTCGATAAGAAGTTTTATTTAATCAGTGAGGACCTAAACTACCGAGAAGTTTCACCAAATACCGCATTTAATATGTCCTCATACTCCAAAGAGAAACTTAGTTTTTTGAAAACAAATGAAAATGGTGTTTCATATGGGAAAGAAGTAGGAGGGGTTTATTATAAAATCAATTATGAAACCAATAAACTTAGACCTCTTAAAGAATTTGCTGTCTGGAGCTTTTTTACAGATACTCTAAAACTTAATGAAAATACTCTGGTGTCACCAACTCAGCTAATAGTACTCCCAGAAATGGTTATTTTTGATCATGAATCTGAGGAAAAAAATGTAATTCAAATGGAAAAACTAAACCTTGGTGTTGAAAACGTAGTTGAGGCTACTCTAATTTCTCCAAAATTAAAAGAAATCATCAGAAAAGGATTCAAAAAAAATATTTCCTTTATAATGCAAGGCAGCCTTTTTCAAAAAGGTGAAACTCTTACTCATCTGCTCAACCAAGAGATTTCAAAAAGTTCAGATTCAGCCCAAACCATCAACAATTTCCATCACAAATTAAAAGAACTATCAAATAACTATGACTTTATGTATTGCTTTAGTGGTCATATCATCGGTGCATTAATATTACTCACATCAGATGCCAAATACGACAACTTTATTTTCAATTTGGAAACAAAAAACATCATAGGTATTGATAATGACAAATGCTTAAGGAATTTTGAATTAAAAAAACAGAATGGAAAATTGTATTTAAAGTTCAAGAATGTTCTCTTTACAATAAAAAGATTAATGAATGAACCAATCAACAGCAAAGTGAAAGAGCAACTCAAAAAAATCAATCCTTATGAAATGGTTCTAGGGTGGCTTTTGAAAATCTACAACCAAGAGATGTTATATAAACAACAATTTGAAAAAATATTATTTTTAAATCAAAACTTCTCACCCAAAATAAAAGAATTACTAAGTAATATCAAAATCCCATTTAAAATATCAATAGACACAATCCCACTATTATTAAACAGATTCATTAAAATCATATCAATATTAAATAGGTCAGATAATATAACCCATACAAAAATTTTCCAAGAGGTGTGCCCGCTTTCTCACTATTACTATGAATGTTTTGAAATATATTCATCATCTATGGAGCAAATTGACAGTATATATAGAAGCGATATAGATTGCTACCCAAAACCAGAGTTTGTCAAAGAAATTATAGAAAAACATAACTTCAATTCACCAAAGATTAAGATTTCCTTAAGAGAGGTAATTTTAAATTTTATATATAGTTTAAAAATCGACGATTTATTGTTACCAGAAAATAAATCTACATTTTTAAATATCATCAAAACTATAATCGAACTATCAAACAAAGGAATTATCGACAAAAATAAAAAAGTATTTCATAAATCCTGGTACTTTTCTCTCAATGAATGGATTATACAAATAATAAAGGACGAAAATGAAAACCAAATTTGGGCAACTATCGATAGAATTTTTCAAATTTTAGAAATAAAAGAACAACATCTAAATAATGAAAATTTTTCCAAACCGGTTATCTATTCTGTGGTTGAAATGGTAAAGAAAGGAGAAGATGATCAATTTACATCAAAAATCAGTAAAGCAATAATCATACTTAGTTCTTACAAAGCAAATATAGATAAAACTTTTAACAACTGTTCACCACTGGATATGATCAATGAAAATCAAAATAAGAAAATTTTCGAAGATTTGGTTAACCACAATGCAAGCATAGCAAAAACTAAAAATATAACAGACTATTACTCATCTTTAAGCTTTACAGAAAAAATTCAACTGGACCCGGTTTTCAAGAGATTATCATCTATTAATACATCTATTGGTTGGGAACTATCTTTTGACCATTTGTTTGAAAAAGTTGCACTGAAATCATCAAAAGAAGAGCCAATCAATTATAGTGAAACCCTTTTACTAGGTAATGGCATTTCAATAGATGCCAGAAAAGTAACAGAATACCAAGATGAGTACATAAAAGATGAATTACACCAAATTCAAATAAAATTTTCACCTACTGTTCCATCAAATCATATCATATATAATGAAACCTTTAAATCATTGTTTGGTTCCAATTTACCATTTTATAAAGTGGGGATATTAAATTCGAAGCCAGTGTTATTAAAACAAAGTATTTCTGGTCAGCCTTTGAAGGAAATATTGGATACAAATCCAGCAAGTTTCAACTCAAATAAAATTAATCTATCAAGCTTTTCAAGGGTATTTTTAATGGAGTTACTATTTTATAGAAAAAATGGAACATTAAATAACTTTTATATAGATATCTATAATAATATTGTTCCTGTCCAAAATGATTGTTCTTTTTTACCATCAAATTTCAAAAATGGGAAAAAAACTTTCATTCCAGAGTCTTGTATCTTTTTAATGGATCATATGAAAATGAATGTATCAAGTGATATAAGAAAAATATTTTTAGAAAAAAATATAATGGAATTATTAAAATCACTTTTATCAGATTTGCAAAAGATACACAATAGTCAATGTTTATTATTTAAAAAAAACAAAAACAACTATATAGACAAAATAGTATTAAAAAAAATATTAGATAGCAATGAAACAATTATTGGTGTAATATTTTATAAAGGACAAATAGAGAAATTATACTCAAGAATTATAAGACTTCAAAAGCTGTTAAAGAATGAAACCATTACACATCTATCAATACTAAAGGAACTTTTAAATACAAATATTTCATCAAAGTATGAAAAAATATTTGAAATGAAACATTTAACTACCATAGAGAAAAGATTCGAATACCTAAAGAGCCAAAATCAGAACCAAACCGATATATTAAAACTAATGGGAATCCGAGATGCCAATGAAATCAATCTTTTTCCAGATGAATATTCACCAAATGTATCATTGAAAATATTAGAAAAAATATCTGAAAAAGAAAAGTGCATGGAACCAATTATAAATTACTATAATGAAAAATATTTATATGGTTTTAAAATAACCACAAATCTCATTAATTGGTTTATCCCTTCAGCAATAGAAGACTACCTAAAACAATCTAAAAGACACGCAGATAAAAGCGGCAATATAGAGCGCTATATCATAGATATTTTAACATTATGTAATAAACAACATATCAAACTTGAATACATTTCATTAAAAAGTAATAACCAATTAGTGTCATCTCAACTAAGCTACCTTCTTTGTGAAAATGTTCAAAGTATCAATATATCAAACTGCAATAATCCCAGCTTTAATAATTTTAACCATACCAGTTTGTTAAGACCCCTCATCAAATTTAATTTGGCAAAAACAATTATATTGAATAACAATTCTAATCTTTCATCGATAAAAATACAAGCCCCATCTTTAGAATATTTCAGCTGTGCAGGAAACAAAAAACTAGAGGATTTTGAACTATATTCACCCAAAGTAGAGAATCTTTTCTTTTCTGGTGGCACTTTAAACCAAACCAAACTAAAAAAATCCAAAATTTTTGAATTCATCAACTCAAATTTCAAAAACTTTGAAAAAGTTCACACTATAGACATTGGCGACAATGAATTTGACTCCTATATAAAGAAAAAAGAATTCTTGGACTGCTTTGACCGTTTTATTAAAAAAAATACACATATTATTTTTAATAAAGAAATTATCAAAATTGGTGTATTGGATTCCTATCATCACAATCATAGGGAAAATAGTTCATCATATAAAAGTGAAAATGATCTGAATATCAAAACATTAACAAGCCATAACTATATAAAAGTAACCAATAGATCCGATAAAGAAAGATTCAATAAGATATACCACTACAAAAATACAATTTTTCATATGGATTACAGGTTAAATTATTGCTTTGGTCCAGATGAAACTATCTCGTTGGGTCTAATCATTTTCAATCCTAATATTTTCGAAGTACCAAATTTAAAGATATCATACAGTACTCTTAATAGCTCAAAAACACCTTTTATCTTGTTTGGAATAACAAAACAGAAACCAAACGATAGATCAATACAATTATTAGAAACTTTAAAACAAGATTGCAATCTAATTTATAGATTTGATGTAAATACAACAAGTGATGAAGAAGATATTATAAATGAAATATTTGATTATTTTATTAATAAAATAATGAAAACAGATAATATTACAGATAATACTAATAATAGCAATAGTGATAACAATAGTAATAATAGCAATGATGTTAATATAAGCAATAATTCTATTACTATAAGCGCAAATAAATAAAAGTTAATTTTACATCTTTTTTATTTTATTTTAGTTTGTTGGTTTTTTTATTTTTTTTATTTATCTGTCTTTTACTTTTAATACAAATACTGCATCAGTTAAAACATAATTTTGATAAAGTGCATCTCCTTCTGAAATATATGGAGCAACTGTAAATGCATCAAGCTCAAAACCATTTGGTTTAAAAACATTGGTATTGAAAGAGTGAACATAATCCTCTATAGTCTCTTGTTTGAGCTAAAGAAAAAAAAATAATTAATAAATTATTATTTGGGATGTTATCTATTAAATATTAATATTAATATTTACTTCTATATGCTCTAAAGGTTTATTATCAATACCACCAAACTCAACATATGGTCTAAAAGGATATACTACCGCTAAAATGATTTTACCATTTGGATTTAAAAAATTTTTAATTGAACTAGATTTATAAAAAAAAGTTAATAAAACCATTAAATTTACAAATAAATTAATTAAATAACTATTCTATTTACTTTAATAAACTAATTGGTTTTTCGCATCTGTCCAAAACATTTAAACATGATATGATATCATAGGAAGTATCTTTTAACTCTTCACATTGCTCTATATCCAAACAAAATACTGAATCTATGCCTTTCTTTTTTAAACTATAAACCATACCTTTGGAAGCTTCGGTTGCGGTAACAAATTTGAATAATGGAGCCATACATAAAGTTGTTGTGCCACATCCCGAACCTATATCTAATAATGATCCATAATGATATGTTGGAATATTATGTTGATTTAAAATTGTTGGTTTAACTTTAACTATGTTATTATTATTATTATTATTATCATTATTATTATCATTATTAACGCTATTACTATTCATTGTATTTAAATATAATAAATCATCTAAATTTTTTTCATTATTGTTATCGTTATATATTAATCTTAAAATTCTTTTATATTGATTGGTTGAAAGAATAAACATTTTACCCATGCCTATATAACCCATGATATCCGTTTTTGTGTATACCCAAGACATTGCCCAATTGAGAGAATTTGTTATAAAGCTCCATCTTGGTGTTTCGATAATAAAATCCAAAGTTTCCCTGTCAAATTCTGTTTGAACAAATAATTTTAAAAGATATTGATTGTCTTTGTTTTTAACTTTGAATCTGTAATATTTACTATATTCTCTTTTTAATTTACTGTATCTTTTTAAATTGTAACTTGAAATAGTTTCATCATCGCTATCTGTATCTCCCCTATTCTCTTGGTAAATCTCTCTTTCTGCTTGTTCTTTTATCATATCAATTGCATAGTTTTTCCATGACTTCATTTTATTTGTTTTGTTATTTTTAGATATATTAAAAAAAAAAATTAAAAATTATAAAAAATAAAACACAAAAAAAAAAAAAAATTTTAAAAAAATTTAAAACACAAAAAAAAAAAAGGTTTATTTATTTGTATTTTTATTCATATAAAAAATAGATGTTAATGTAACATAACAATAATAACCCTATTTAATTAAAATAAAAGATAGTAAAAATTAGTTGTAAATAATTTGGAATAAAATATTTTTAATTAAAAAAAAAAATTAAAAAAAAATAAAAAAAAAACGAAATTTATCAAATAATTTTTTTTTTTTTTTTTTTTTTTTTTTTTTAAAATTTTTCAAATTTTTCATTTTTTTTTTTTTATTTAATTTCCCGGGATTTTTACCCCCCCACACCCGGAACCCTTTTTAAATATGTGGGGGTTTTTTAGAATAAACCATAGACTGGTTTCTAACTCTGCCATCAAGTTTAGAAACTTTTCAACAACAACAACAGAAACAGCAACAATCAATAAACCAATAGCACAAGCAAAATATAGCGAGTTTATTTCAGCACAAAGAGGTTTTAAAAATAAAATAAGAAAGGTTGATTTAAAAAAATTCTCTTTTATTAACTTTCAAGATTTAGAAATTCAAAATAAAATCCCACTACATTTTTCTGAATCAATTAAAAATGCAAGTGATGAAAATAGCGTTTATAGAGAGTAAGATATATATATAAATACATATAAATTATTATTTTTACATCAGCTAATATTTTAAATTTACTTATTTTTACTTTTTTTTTTTCAAAATAAATAGGATAGATTATTATTTAAATTATGAAGCTAAAGATGTAGCTACAGTCAGCAAGTTATATCAAAGTTTACCAGGTACTTACAAAAAAAACAATTATGTTTTAAGATCATTTTTAAGATTCTTTAAAAACAATTCACAAGATCAATTGTTTTTAGAAATGGCCAAGAGTGCTCGTGTAAATGATAGCTTTGATACCGAATCCTATGTTTTGATTGTAGATTTTTTATTAAAACAAGAACAAAGAGACTATAGCTTTTTAGATAAAATGGTTAAAAAATTAAGAGAATCTATTGAAGAAAACTCAAAAGATAGGGAAAGAGATTACAAAGTAAACAATTTAACCAAAAGTATATTAATAGAATATTATCTAGAAATTTGTGATTTCCAAAACTGCGAAAATTTTTTCAAGAGTTGTTCAACTGAAGAAGAGTTTCCAGTAGATCATTTTATTTTATTCATTCAAAGGCTAATAAAAGCCAATCCACAAAAAGCTCTAGACATCACCAAAAAAACTCTTATCAAATATGATAGGGGTATTAAAAGCCTTGAATATATCAGAATCCTACAAGTTTTCAAAAAAGAAAATAGAAATGACTGTATTTTAGAAATTTGGTCTTCATCAGATGTAAATTTCAACAAAAGCAAATTTATTATCGAATATTTAACTCACAAAGAGGGAGATATTCATTTAGCCAAAACAATTCTCGAAGAATTATCAAAGAAAGACAAATTTAACTTAATTAACAATGGTGAAAAGTTGATGGGACCTCTTTTCAATTATTACCTGGCTAAAAAAGAACCGGAAGAAGTTTTAAAGCTCCTTAAATTTATTCGAAAATATGATATTATACTAAGTCCACAATTTATTTTTCATTCAATATTAAAACCAAAACTATATGACTTTTCCGTAATTTCACAATATATGTTGTCACAAAGATCATTCCTTCAAAGCTTTGGTTGGGTTATTGCATATTGCGAAAGATATGATACCCCAGAAAATAAAGAATTGGTAAATAATCTTTTAGAACCAATAAAAAACAATCCACGTTTATTGGCCAGTGCCATCTTTGATATCGTTCAAGTTTATTTATTATTGGACGACTTTCAAAAAGCAGTTCAATGGTATACCTCAGCATCCTCAATCTATCAAATAAATACAGGTGCTACGATGTTTCACATCTTTATGGAATACCACAAAAAAAAAGGAGAACAGGAGCTAGTGGAGTTCTGGAGAAATTCTTTAGTCCAAAGTGGTTTTTACAGAGATTCTCTCCCAGGTCCTCTGGGGGAGAAATTTATTAAAAGATTAGATCAAAAAATCCCCCATTTAGATTTAATTCATCAAGGAAACAGCGATTCTGACTTTGTAGAAAGGTTTGATAGTCATTGTTTAAAATCAGAGAAATTTATGAAGGAGATTCAAAAAAGACAACAAAGATTTTTAGATTCAGAAAATAGACCAAATCAAATAGTTGACGTTGTAGAAGTTGAATCACTAATTAGGAAGAATGATGTTCAAACCTTAAAAATTCAACTTGCCAATTACGTAGAAAACCAATTATTACCAAAAGAAACCATAGTCCGTATATTGGATATTATTTATTTAAATAACCCAGATGAATTTATTAGCTACACTTCAACCGCCTTCAAAAAGCCAACACTAGAATTTAAACAAATCTTACAATCAACTATTATAAAGTTTGATTTCGAAAAAGGTGTCGAGTTATTCAAAGATGATATTCTCAAGTATAAAAGCCCAATTTTTTTAAGTTCAATATTAATTTATGCAGTTCGTAAAGGTTATATCCGATTGTCTTTAGCAATTTTAAGATTCTGTGTAATGAACAATCTCGAATTTTCACCACAAGCACGTTATATTATTGCTTTAGAGTTCAGAAACATCCAATTAAAATCTCAAACAATCCATTTCAACTATAACACAAATACCGACTTTTTCTTTTTCAACAATGATAAAGATGATACAGATTTCTCTGGTGTATTTAGAAAGTACAAAAAGCTAAAAGAAAATGGAAACTACTATTTATACAATAACATTGAGGATCCAGATCTTCAAAACATTCATGTTAATAAAATTTTTGCATTCTCCGAAAGAATCAAAAGTTGCAGATTCCACATTTTCACCTTATATAAAAACTTTATTTTAGATGCTCCAGATAAAATTTCCTCAACTTTAAATGTATTCTATAGATATTATGATATTCCACTCTCAAATTTATGTATCCACTTTTTAATAGATTTAGGTGAAGAAAAGAATGCAGATGTTATTATTGATAGAGCCCTCTCTTTAGAAATGTTCAATCGTGAAACTTTATTACTATACATTCAAGCAAAGAGAAAATTTAATAAACAACAATTCAATATCGAAGAAATAATCAACAAATACAATTTAGTCAAAAAATTAAATTTGTTAGAAAACGAGATAGAGAAATTAATTGAAATTTCAAATTCAGAAGGTTTAACAGCCGATTCATCGGATGAACATTACAACTCATATTCAGTTTACCTTGAAAATTATACATTTATTAGAGAATACCTCAGAAAACCAAAAAGAGGCGAAGATGTCGAACTTAGAAATAATTATATAGCAATAGATAATATGGATGATAAAGATAATGAAGACTTTATTTGGGAATTATCAAAAGATATAAGAGGCAGTTTAGAAAAATAAACACGTTTATTCAATCAAAATGTTTGTTAAATATATAATCTTTTTTTATTTCTTTTTTTTTTTTTTATTTTTATTTTTTATGATGAATTTGTTTTCTTTAGTTTTATATTTTTTTTAATTCCTTTTATTTGATATTTATATTTTATTATTAATAAAATTGCTATTGTAACAATTATTACACCACCCACACAACCCAAAACTACACCAATAATAACCCCTTTAGATAAACCACCATCACTATTACATACTGAGTCTGCTGGGTTACTATCTACCAATACTGAAAAATCTGGGTCTAAAATAGCAGAATATAAATATCGAGGAATAAGAATACCTATATATGATTGTTGTTTATTGTTTGTTGAGCTAATGGTTTGGAAGCTTGAGTCAAGCAATTGGTTTTGAACTTTTTTAATATTTGAATCTATTATACCTCTTTGAATAAATCTACCATAAAAACTGTTTTTATCTACTTGGAGCTTAATATAGTTTGCATTATCACCTGAGGTTGTATTACCATACTCTTTATTTGAACAGATATCATTTCTATCGCTTTGAATTTGAGCCATCATAATTAATTGCAAATTACAAAAGTTGTCGTTAAAAGAATATGGGGATAGTGATATTGTGTATTTCATTGTTGATGGCATCATTGTTAAGTTTTGATTTGCAAATGATATCGATTTTTCGTTGCTAAACCATTCCAATGTTACATTTATATTAGTTTTTAAACCATTTCTCGTGATTGAGGTTTGATACAAAGATACATTTTTTCCTGGCTCATTTGTGTAAACCCAGCTATCGAATGGGTGGTATACTACATCTTCATTGGTTAATGAATTAATTTCTTTCATACCAACAATTGTTATAATGCTTTTTATTTTACTACTGTCAGGGTTTGGCACCTCGATAGTTGTATTTGGTTCCTCTTGGTTTATATTTGGTTGTGGTACATTGACAATAAGAGATGAGCAATCAATGCCAATATATGGAGAAAAACATACACAGCCATTATCGGTACATACACCTTGCTTTGGACCACCACATATTGGCTCACCTTTACATTTCTGTGGAGGATTGATTGGTGGTTCGTTTGGGTTTGATTGTGGATCTTTATATTGTCTCTTTGTGTAGCTAAAAGATAAGGTATTGGTGTTTATATTTTGTGATGTTGTACCAAATACATTGATAATTATTGTTTCATTTGAATTAATAGTAGAGTCCAAATCATATTTTATGATTGCTGCTATATTAAAAGATTGAGTTGGAGCTATTGTTTTACCACCAATAGTAATGCTTTTTAACTTTGTTAAACCAAAACCAAATATATTAAATTCCCCATTTGAATACTTTATATCTGTTAATGTAACAAAACTATAGATATCAGGTGTATAACTATCAACATTTAATGTTGAAAGAGATTCACTTGAAAATCCACCAAAAAAACCATGGTTATTTACAAATCTATAAGAAAGAAATTAATATTTATAATCTTTAATAATACTTTTATATATAAAAAAATTTACTTACCCAAAAGCATTTATATATAATGGATATGGTGACCCCCATAAAAAAGGAACTGAAATAATAGATTCATATTTATAGATTGTATTTTGAAAAGAGACAAACTTCAATGGGAATTTTAAAACATCAAAAGAATATGATGTTATACAGACATATGGAATTTGACTAGTTTTGAATCCTGAATAATCTTTTGTTTCTAATAAAACTTTATACTCCCTTGTTTGTGATTGTGTATTTGTTGATTGGAGTGGTGTTAAAATAAAAGAATTTATTGCCATTTCAGTATCTGTAGAACCAGGAGCTGGAATTGGTATCTTTGGAACATAGATTTTGTAAAAGTTGATATCTTGAATATTAACAAAGTTTATAAATGGATTAAGTTGTGGAAATTCTGGTATGTTTAATCCGGTAAACTTAAATTGAGTTTTTTGTTGTTGGTTATCTTGAAGGAATATTTCTGAAATAGTGAATGTTTGAGAGATACCACTTGAAGACTCAGATATACTAACTTTATATAAGCCCTCATATAAATCACCAGACACAAAACTTGCTGAAGAGGGAGATAATGTGATATTATACATAGATCTGTCCATTTCGCCTTTAATTACCATAAAACCATCTTTGAACCCATTAACTTTATCTTGAATTGTAAAAGACCATCCAAAAGAAACTGCTGATGAAGATGAAACTGCTTCGTTTTTAATGAATTTTGTAAATACTGGACCCATTAAATCTGCATTCTTTGAATATACGTTGAGTTGGTGCGATGGTGGTAATAATGTTGAGGCAATCATTCTTGTTGGAATTGATAAATAATACTCAATTGATCCAACCAAAATATTTGATGGTATTTTGAAATCTCCTTTATATATAGATTTGGCCGAGTCCCAATAAAGATATGTTATTGTCTCCTCTCTATTATTTGAAAAATAAAAACCAACTTGGATAGGATTTCCTTTTGATAGGCTCTTATCATTGAAATCTAAATACATTGTATTCCAAAAAGTTCCATTAGTTGTATCTATATTATTGTAAAGGAATGAAATTGATTTTATATCCTTTATTTCGAAATCTAAATTTTATTAAATTAAAACTATTAATATTTTTAATTTTTTTAATCATTTTAAATTTTGTTTTACCTGTGAATTCTAAAAATGAAAGTGGATTTTTTAATACAAATGGAGACTCGGAATCTTTAGTTGGTACAGAAAAAGGAATATCACTTGTATAGTTTGAAAACCAATTATAGGTATTTTGAAGTAATAGAGTAACTGATTTTTGTTTATTGTAATCAAAAATAATTTCATAAGTTGATGAAGAAGTATCTTTTGAAACCATGCACCTTGCAGCGTTATAATATTTATCATTTAATACAATATCTAAAATACCCGTACTATCGTATGCAATAAATCTCATTAGAATTTGATTGTCGTTTAATCTAAAATAACTATAGCTAATTAGATTTGGACTACTTTGATCAACTATGTTTAAATAAATAAAATTAGTGTCTATGGAATACTTATATATTCAAAATAAAATAACAATACCTTGTGAATCATTCGTAAGTAAAGTACTCCAAAAAGCATTTTCAACAAAAGCAGTAATATAAATTGGAATATTTGATCGTGGGGGTAATGGAAAAGTAACATAAAAAATTGCACTTGATGATTGACCTAAAGTAAAACCAAATAGATCATCACAAATGAAATTTCTTGTTATATTTGTTTTCTTTTGGACTATATATGGAGTTGGATTATATGAATATTTGAGTTGGAAGTTAAGTGAAAAAAACCCATCTTGACCATGTATATTTATGTAGGGTATAAAAGAAGTAAAATTATTATAACCTAAATTTTATTAAAAAATTGATTAATATTTAAATAAAATATAGAAACTATATGACTTTTAACCTACTATTAAAATTAAAATTTATATTATTCTCCTAGGTATAAGTGGAAAACAATTGTGATTTGATTGTTAATGTATCAGACCCATTTTTGAAATCAAACAAACTAGCTAAATAAGTTATACTATTGGTCGTATCAAAAGTTCCACTGATTGGAATAAAATTTACTTTCCCTTCCAGCGATGATAAGAAATAAAATATTGGACTAGACTGAATACTATTTTCTGAACTAAATAATAAAAATGGTCTGTAATAATTAGTTATAGCATTACAAACAACTGCAGTATTATTTATTAATTGAAGCGATGGGTTATTTAAATAGCTTAATTGTATGCTATTGTCTGAATCTAAAAAAACAATTATAATAAATATTAAAATTATATTATATAGATATAAATTTTTAAAATAAAATTACTAACTTGTTGTAATTGGCGAATTAAAAGTTACTATTAAACTCTGTCCAGAAGAAATAGGAAGAGAAACTTCCCACCCATCCATGGGGTTGGCTGGTGGAACTTGAAATATAACAGTATAGTACTGAATAGCAGCATTTTTAGGGGGAATAGATTTTATTAATACATTTTTGGTTGCAGTTGTGAGTTCTGTAATATATTTTAGCCCCTCAATTTTTATAACACCAGTATATCCACCATATATTTGACTATATACATTTGAAATTTCCGAGTATTTACTAACTGTTAATGAACTCTTGTCAATTACTAAAATTTTATTATATTAGTTAATATTTTTTTTAGAAAAATATTTAAATTGTTTTTTTATTTTTATTAAAATTCATTCTTACCTTCACAATTTAAGGTAACAAAATCAAAACTGGTGCTTTGTATAGTTGGATATTTGATATTAAAATTAAATACCTTTGCTCCAATAGGAACTTTTTTAATATCAATTGATACCAAAATTGAATAAAAATTTGAATTTATTACATTGTAATTTAAAACACTGCCTCCAAGATTCGTTATGGTAATTTGTGAAAAAAATTCGGTGTAATCTTTAATTAATATATAAATGCTATCAAAACTACAATAATCATAATTTGAATATTTGTTAATGGTGGAATTGGCAAGTATATTTATAGTCTCGCTATTTACAAAAAAACCATTATTTGAAATTATATATGATATATTAATAAATAAAAGAAAAAATAAAATAAATTTCATTTCTTTTCTTTTCTATAAGCTATTTAAAATTAAAAAAAAAAAAAAAATTTATATTTTTTTTTAAAGAGGTATTTATTTTTTTTTTTAGAAGCCGTGCCCAGAAAAAACTTAACAATTCAATGAATAAAAAAAAAAGGTGAGCCATATTTTTTTTTTTTTACGTAAAAGTCAAAAAAACCTTCCTCATATCCTAAAAAAAATTAAAAAAACTAATCTAAAAAAAAAAAAAAATTGAGAAAAAATAAAGAAAAAAAAAAAGAAAATAAAAAAGATCATTCCAAAAAATCTAATTTAAATTAAAAAAAAACAGAACAATAAATAGCAAAAAAAAGATAAAAAAATAAAAAAATATAAAAAAATAAAAAAATAAAAAAAAAAATAAAAAAATAAAAAAAAAAATATAAAAAATATAAAAAAAATATAAAAAAAATATAAAAAAAATATAAAAAAATTTAATAAATAAATAAGAAAAGAATAAAAAATATAATATTTGGATTTTAAGAATTAAGAATACAGAATAAAAAAATAAAGACTCTTGATTAATTTTAATAAGAATTATTACGGAAATTTGTGCACTTATAATCCAAATATTATATTTCATTAAATGTTTTATAGTTTGAAAAATAATAGTTTATTTATTTATTATTATTTTATTAATCTAAAAGTTTGATTACTATTTCATAAACAGAAAACATAGCGGCATTGGCTGGAAAGGATCTAATGATGGTTGGAGTGTAACCTCTAAATAAACCTTTAATACCTTCACGACGGTAGATATCTTTTAAAATGGAAACCACCGAAGGAGTTGGACCGTTACTATCAGCTACTTGAATATAAGATTTAGCGACATCAACAGGATAAAGTACTGTCCAATATGCCATACCACCCAAACCACCACTTAAAACCAATGAAGGTAAATTGATATTATCATTGCCCTGTTTTTCTCTGAAATATTTTTTACAACTTTCATATACACTAAAAAACGCTATATTTCCAACAAATTCTCTTGCCAAAGTTGCTGAAAACCCTCTATAGATACCTTTAACACCAGTTTCTTTAAGTGTTTGAACCAAACAATCAAATGAACCCTTATATTTTTGTGGGCCTGTGGTTTGGATTTGTAATCTGCATTTAATTAATTCTACTGGTGTCAACACAAATGATGCACCACAACCTGCGACACCACCTGATATAGCATATTGAGGTATTGTTAATGGAATATTTGGATCTTTTTGTAACAACTCCTTCATTTGTCCATAACATGTAAACAATACTGCTGTTTCAAACATCATACCAAACAATGGTGATGTTACGCCTTTATATAATCCGCTAAATCCTTCATATTTAATAGTATTTTTTAAACACTCCATAATTCCAACTGGTGTATTTGATGTTTGTAATCTAACTCTAATTGTATCGAATGGGTGACTTTGATTAAAATAAAATTTTAACATTAGCAATAATATTGATGTTATTAATTCGATCTATAGTTTATAATTACCCTGTAAAAAGACATGCAGCACCTGCAACAGTGCCAGCAATACTATCTTTATAACCTTTTTCTGCTGACATTATTATTAATTTTAATTAAATTTAATTTAATTTGATGATCACAACAAAAAAAAAAAAAAAAAAACAATAAATATAACAAGTGATAAAAAAAAATAAGATTATTTTTTATTATCTATTATTTATTATAATTTCGAAACTATCAGCAGAATTAAATTAATTGTAAAAAAAAAAAAAAAATAACAATGAAATTAATAAAAAATAAAAATAAAAAAATAAAAAAAAAAAAAAGAAAAAAAAAATAAAAATTTTATTAATTTTTTTAATTCAAATCTGCGCACTCACACAATTTCACACCAGTAATTGTTTTTTTTTTTTTTGTGTGTGTAATTATTAAAAACATAATAATTTCTCTCGAGATTGACTCTCCTTTGCAACCTATTTTAATACCAATGTTTGCTTTTTAAACAAAAAAAAAAAAAATGTTATAATTGGTTTAAATTTTTTATATAATCTATTTTTACTTTTTTTATAAAAAGAATGAATTTAAATTTAAATTTTTTTGTTTTTTTGTTTTTTAATTTAAATTTATAATTTTTTAATAAAATTAACTAAATAGACAATATAATATAATAAAACAAAAATGTTTTTTTTTTTTATTTTTTTTTTTTATAATTGTATTTTAAACACATTAATCAAAAAATCATACATATTATTTTAATATTTGTTTATTTGTTATAAAAATAATTATTTTTATATATCTTTTATAAAATATTTTTATTTTCTTTTTTTATTCAATTTTATTTTATATCTATTATCTTTATTAAAATAATAAATAAATAAATAAAGTATGCAAAATTTCAACTCTTTGCCAAATTATTTAAAATTTTTTATTATACAGTTACTAGTCAAAAGAGATAACGAAAATGATTATAGATTACAATTTTATTTAAATGATAAATTTGATAAGCTTAGTCATCCAGATTGCCACCAAAATTATATTTTAAACTATTCATTAGTATCAAAAAGTTGGTTTGAATATGTTTCAAATTCTTTTCAAGTAATATCAATCCCGATTCTTTCAGAAATAGATATAAATAAACTATTCCCACATTATAGTCAAAATAATAATAATAATCAGTTTTCATTATTAAAAAAAGAAAATATTGAAACTATTATAGTAGAATCAATACCATCACCAAATGAATTATCAAAATATTATAGTGATAATAGTTGTAATCAATTAATTAATAACAAAATTTTTTTAAATTTAAAACAAATCATATACAATTTAAAAATTGAAAACTCAAATGATATAATTAACAACTGTAACTTTTTATTAAAGAACCATCAGCTGCTAGAAAGTCAGCAAATGAACGATAAAGAACTACCATCATCTCCATCATTGTCATCACAATTTATAAATAGCAAAATTAGATTAAATATTATAATAGATTCAGATTTCAATTTTAAATTATTAAAAAAAAATTTATATATAAATCAACAAGATAAAAACACTTCATTAATTAGATTTCAAATAGATTTGTTTTATTTAAACATTTTAGAAGTAGATAGTGATATAGATTGCCAAAAAATAATAAATATAATACAAATGAAATTCAAACCCAGTAATATAATAATATCAATACCAACAAGTATTTTTTATTATCCACATAT